AAGTGCTCCTCCTTCCAATTACCTCCTGTACATCAAGATATTTAATCCCTGAATATTCAACTAGACAGACCCTGAATTTGTGAATACCAATCATTATAAAGGAAAGAAGTGTAACATCAAATCAACAACAGGAAAATTAAATTCTAAACTTTGTTGCTGTCAATCCCCCCAAATCACTCTTATGGGGGAAAAGTTTTTAGAAGGAAATTAAGAAAACTAACAGACATAAGGAAATAAAATAAGAAATAGAGAAAAACATTGGATATTTGTGATCTTCAGATAAGTGGTTTATTTCCTACCAGACTACCTTTACTGATAAATGCCAGCTGATAGATCATGTATGCATACAACTGTTAGGATAAACTGTATACTTTATTTTTAAAAGATTTATTTATTTTTATTGCAATGTCAGATTTACAGATAGGAGGAAAGACAGAGGAAGATCTTCCGTCCAATGATTCACTCCAAGAGACTGCAACAGCTGGTGCTATGCCGATCCGAAGCCAGGAGCCAGGAACTACCTCCAGGTCTCCCACGCAGGTGCAGGGTCCCAAGGCTCTGGGCCGCCCTCAACGGCTTTCCCAGGCCACAAGTAGGGAGCTGGATGGAAAGTAGAGCTGCTGGCATTAAAACCAGGGCCCATATGGGATGCTCGCGCATTCAAGGCGAGGGTTTTAGCTGCTGAGCCACACAGCCAGGCCCAACTGTACACTTTATATATGTGAAACTTATATTTCAATAACCCCTCAAGGGAATTAGCAAAACAACATCACCTCAAAAGCAAATGAACTACCAAATGAGATACATACTTAAACTCCAAAGGAACACATAAAGATTAGCGCCCAGCGTGATTGTTCAATGGCTAAATTCTAGCCTTATCAGCACTGGGATCCTATATGGTTACTAGTTCATGTCTTGGGTACTCTACTCTCCACTCAGCTCCCTACTTGTGGTTTGGGAAAGCAGTGCAGGCTGGTAAAAAGCCTTGGGATCATGAACCTGTGTGGGAGACACAGAACAATCTCCTGGCTTAGGATCAGCTCAGTTCTAGCGATTTTGGATGTAAACCAGCACATGGAAGATCTTTCTCTCCTTCTCTGTAAATCTGCATTTTCAATAAAAGTAAATAAATCTTAAAATATGTATATAAAGATTAAAGTAAATATTCCTAAAAAATGGACAGAGAATGAGAGATCACAAAGGGAAAAGAACTTTTAAAAGAGAGCTAGCAATAGTACCCCCATTACATGTGTGAGACAGAACCAGAACACTATGAAAAGACATTGAGAAAGGAAGACCTGTCAACTATTAAAATGTATGGCTTGCCAAAGTCAAACTTATGAAAAGTTACTACATTAGGAAATGTCCAGGATAAATTACCTAACGATAATAATATCAATCTAATGGATCTGGTTCTGACAAGTGTTTTGAAAAGGAAGGCAAAGAAAATGGAGAGGAGAAAATTTAGTGTGGAACAATTCAAAAACATTTCTCATGACTGAAGGACACAGCCCATACATTACAAGATAAATTCAAACATAGGTATTTGGTACAGTATGTAAAATATCACCTGAGATTCCTTGTGGCTGGGTCTGAATTCTACTTCCACTTCTGATCTAGCTTCTTACTAATGCACCCTTGGAAGCAGCAGCTTATGGCTCAAGTGCTTAAACCCGTGGATTGTATTGCTAGACAGTTTTTCGTACGAACAGTGTTGGGAAAGTATTTTTAATTTGGGGGAAGCAGACAGAGATCAACAGATGCAGCAAGTTTCCACCTGCTGGTTTACTCCCCCAGTGCCTGTGAAGAACTTGGCCCAGCTGGATTCAGGAGCTAGGCACTCAATCTCATGTGGGTTGTGGGGACTCCTGCCTCGCAGTGTATGTGTTAGTGCAGGCTGGAGTGAGAAGCCAGAGAAGCCACTTGAACCTATACATTCTAATGTTCGACATGGGCATCTTAACCATGAGCCCAAACACTCCAGAGGAGTTTTTTGTTCAACACAGATTTTCCCTCAGTGAATCTGAGTTGAGTACTGAGGTTTTTACACTTCAAACAAACCCTCAGGTAGTGCCACAGCAGCGGGCACCAGTCTCAAAGGTTGACTAACAAGGTCAGGGAGAAAACACACATGAGCAGCAATGAGGTTTTCCTGTAAGAAGCAGAGTAGGAGATGGTGATGGAGGTGCCATGCAGAGAATCAGATCCCTGTATACCAACTTGCACTTTCACCGGGATGGGATGCATGTTAAACCAAAAGCTATTAAATGGAGACAGAGATACACCTTGCTATAAACTCTCTAAAACCAACTTAAGACCATGTCTTACTACAACAAGGTTATCAAGATGTTAGAATACAGTCAAGCATAGCCCAAAGCCTTGGGACCTTTTACCCACATGGCAGACCCGGAACAGTTCCTGGCTCCTGGCTTCAGATTGGCGCAGCACTGGCCACTGCAGCCACTTGGGGAGTGAATCATCACATGGAAGATACTTCTCCCTGTCTCTCCTCCTCTATTTATATATATGTATGAGTTTGCAATAAAAACAAATAAATCTTTTTTTAAAAGATGTTAGAGTAAGACATACAGCCTAGATAAAATAGACAATTCAGTGTATGGGAACAGAGACCCTCTGTAACAAAGAACTATTCTGAGAGGGATGAGTGAGAACCTGAATTTCTAACTGTCCCAGAGGAGCTGGGAAAAGCTCTGGGCTCCTGGTTCAGATCGGAACAACTCTGTTCATTGCGGTCGCTTGGGGAGTGAATCATCAGATGGACAATCATCCTCTGTCTCTCCTCCTATATATTTGACTTTGCAATAAAAATAATCTTTGAAAAAATATCAATAGTACTGCACTTTTCTTAGAACATTTTCTTTTTGACATCAATTTCTCAGGGTGTAAGGGGAATTCAGTTTTTAATGCAATGTTTGGCACTTTTATCAAAAAAAAAAAAGGACAAGAAAATCTAGTGAAATAAATATGTGAATTAGAAGCAGGCCCTTGGGCTAACACAATACTCAACCAGCAGTTAGAAAAGCTGACTTCCGGCCTGGGATTCAACATTAAGTCAATGTTTGCAATTGGATAAGACTTTCCAGAGCTCTGTGTCTTTGTCTAAAACACTATATGCAATTTGGAAAATGTGTTATCTCACAGGAAATTATTATCCTTTCAAGTCCAGTTTGTTATCTTGCCTTTTGTGATCTCAGTAAATGTGGAAACTGCAGAATCAAATAATGAGAACAAGGATTCAAGTTTCTTTTTCCTTCAAATTTCTACCCATAAAATATTTCACTCCGCTTTAGAGAAATACGTGAAATTTAAACACTTATTTTTTGAGAATGTACATTTCTTTCATATTATGCATACATGTGCTTTTGTTGATAGTTGGAAATTCTTTCATCTGCTATACATGCCACCAAGTTGTTGGGCCCCTAGAAATAATTTTAAAGTAAGAAAAAAATTTGGAGAAAGTTTTTTTAATGACTTTAAAGGCAAACTAAATAGTGCTACTCTGATCTAAGCTATTCATTGTTCCTTCATGACACTAAAGAAAACATTTTGCTAAAATAACAGTATTTCTAAATAATGGGAACACCATAAAAAAAAAACTGCTTAAATTCCTTTAAGCTAAATTTTTGATGTACATGAGTTGTTTTATGTCACTAATCTCCTTCCTATTTCATTGTAAGTATATTTTGATTTCTCATTTACATCAGCATAGTGTGACTTTCTATCTCTGTTTCCTAAGCATCTACAGCATTAAAGTCATGGCGTCATTGCATTTAGGCCAGGTAGGCACACGTGCAGGGACAGAGGCTCTGACCACTTGACTCCTCAGGGCTCTGCTTTCTGAGGATGCTCCAGGAAAGCTGACCTTGCAACACTACACAGGGAAGGGCGGACAGCAGCAAACCAGGAAGGCTGCAGGAGACATCTGAGTCGGTGTCTTGGACCGACTAATGTGTGTGAAGATGTGTGTGGCTTCAGTGGGAAGGGCTCTTTACTGCCCTGTGATACATTGTGGGCACTCTCCTAACCCTCGCTAGAGAAGCCCTAAAAAAAGTCTTCCAGAATTTTTTTAGGGATCTCTATTTCCCTATTGTTTCCTTTATTCATGACAAGTAATTGGCTTTTCCTTGAGCAAACCTACTTGAGACAACACCCAAGGGAACAAAAGCATGGTGTGACCAACATCACACCTCCTGCAGGCCTTTGGCTTCATTCTTCGCCGATAAGCCCATCAACTGATACTGTCAATGAAATCCTCTTTATTCTTTCTTATAACAGACATTTAATTCTTAAAAACTCATATTTCACAAAGATGGAAAAATTCAAACCTATGCTATGTGTGATGCCCTGAGCTGTAAAAAAACAAGCTGTATCTGTTATGTGAATATTTACTAATGTGTTAACGTAATAATGACCTATCTACCTCTGATATCTAGGAGGCAGTTTCTATTTATACAGATGGAGATTAATAAGGCTTTCTGAACTGCCTGATGTCAGAACTGAGAAATCTCTGAAAGGTATATAAGAGTGGGAGTATTAGTAAGTACAGTGCAAAGCTTGGGCTACAAGTTTGAGCTTTTTCCATCAAACTTTTTTGAAGTCATTTTCTATTATTGCTGACACTGAAAGATTAAAAGGTAAAAAGCCTTACTCTTTGGGAAAAAAGTGTTATTCGGGAAAAGTCGACTTGCTGTTAAATACATAACATTTCAAAGCAAAGATAAAGGGCTCACATTATCTTTCAATCTTCCAGATGGCTAATACAGAATTGGGTCAGTGTAAATGCTAAAAATTAATTCTAAAGTTGTTTCAAGGATGTTAAGGAGCTGTATCAACATAGTCCTCTAATATTGATAGAGATCTATAAATTAAGCTTTTACATTTTTTTTAACCAGGCTCCAATTTAAAATTGTATCAATCAAAACTATAGGAAATTTCCTGATTTCAACGCTGGATTTTTCTTTCAGAAAATTGGATGAGCAATGTACATCCTGAAGCTGCCAGTAGTTGTTATTGTGCTCTCAGTTGCAATGAGCCACCTGACAGCTACACCTGTGAAAAGGTTAGTAACGAATATCCTTTCTCATCTGTGATGCATGGGGTAATTATCGTCAGATATTGCTCTACCACTTACAGCTCTTATGCCAGATTTCTGACTCAAATGTGCTTAAAGAAATTATAATACATGCTGTCCAACTGTTGCTTGAATTGTATTTTTTAAATGGGGCATCCTTTCAGGATTCTCTATGTATTTCTGTCTGGCAACAGTTCTATCAATCTCGATTTTGTGAAGAAATATGCTGTCGTAATTTAGAAGGGCAAATCCAGGAGGGAATCAAGAAAAGCCAAAAGATAGCAACTTTGCATCTCACTAACTTGACACTGAAACAACCTTAGATAAAGCATAAATTTTATACCAGGGAAAATGTTAGATTTTACTCCTCAGAGTATTCTGAAAAGCGAAATGAAAAATCTTTAGAAAGGCTTTTGCTGTTGAAATTCTATTAACTGTTAGCTATTGTGCTAATGAAAAAAATATAAAAAGTATTCCTGATCAGATAATTTGCAAGCTGTTATAAATATGAATTAGCACTGTTTCGAAATTATCTTCAATAGGTATTCAATGCATCGCCGATTTCCCAGGAAGTTTTGCTGGGAAGGTGTCCTGTCATTCAAATGATCATTGTAAGGATTATGCTGCTCAGACTGCAAGCAGTGATCACAATTGTCAGATGTGAACCATCTAAAATTTTAAATTTATTTACTTTAAGAGATTCTTAGCGTTCACATCGCTGCATAAATCAAATAATGTACCAAGCATTTGTACTCAAGTAAGTTTTTTCTGTAAAGTTTTGAAGACTAACTTTATTTGCCCTCCAAGACCTAGAGGAGTTAAGCTTCAATAATCATAGAATACTTATTAGAATTACCATTAATTTATCTTTATTTTCATTTGAGGTGTTCTTTCTTGGATGGAAATCCATGACAATATGCTCAGATTTCTATACCATGCAGGAATTATCATTGCATTGTCTTTGTCACTTCAGGGAAATGACTCATTTTCAATTGACTTTTTCATAATGACAATTTTAAAATAGACATTAAATTTTTGATAAGCAGAGTAATTGGATTGGAAGATTACAGGAAAATTAGCATTGTCTAGTATGTCCAAGTATAACTTGTTCTCTTCTATCATTTGATTTAGGCATTTCCTAAGCATCTGTACCTCCCACGTCTATTACAAGTGAACTTCACAGAAACAAAATATATAATATTACTTAGTATGTAAACATTTCCATATTCTCATATTTTTGAGTTGTGACGAGAAATACTACAGGAAACTCTTAAAATTGCTTTTTAATGTGTTTCCTGACATCAGTATGTTTGGTCACTTTTAGAGGGATGATATTTCACACTGACCTGTCAAATCAGTTAATAACCTACAAGTTTCATTAAAAACTAAAAAAAAAGTATTTATGCTAACACAAAGCTTTCCCACACTGCAAAGAGTGCTAACCCAGGGACAGATTTGATTCCCCTTCAGACTATAGTCACATTTTTTATTGTGTTTATTGTAACAATACTTCATTTGAGTCAAGACATACAATACAATATTCAATATTTGAAGATTCCCTATCCTGCTTGACCAAAACTTTGTGCTCATGGGATAGCAATGACATGTTTTCTGTTTCTCTCAGCCCCAGCTAACCACTATTCAACTCTTCTATTCCTAAGATGGACTGCTTTAGATACTGCATAGAAATGGAATTTGGAATAATGATCTTTCTGTGACTGACTTATTCAATGTAGGAGAAGTCCCCACAACTTTTAATTGCTTCATCTTGCAGCATTTCCTCCTTGACATTTTTTTCTTAATGTTACCATTTCAATGATCAAGGAATTTAACAAAAACCAGTATTCTATGTAACTCTTGCTTAAAAATATGGGATACAAGTAATTTTTAAAATTTCCACACATTCCAGATTACCAACAAATTTATCAGTCTAAATCTTTTATACAGCGATAGCTAAATAAAATCAGCAAAATTTACAAGAACATAAAATAAAGCCATTTTAATTATTATCTGGAATGCATTTTGAATTTCTATAGAAAGAATAAGGCTGATACATGTAATATTGACTATAAAGAAAGATATTATATGGAATTCCCGGTCCCCAATTGACCCTGTTGCATCTTCATGCTTCAAAAATCTGTTTCATTCACATGTTTGCCAACCAAAACACTGAGTTTTTTATAGAAATGCATTTCCTCTTGTTTTCATCGGTATGTAATATTCAGTGTCACAGGGGTGCATAGTGCTGTATCTAACTAACCTTTCATATTTGTTCACTCTTAACCAGTCATCAACTGGAAAAACGCAAATGCAACACCATCACCTGCGCCACACAACGCCTGGCAAATTTTTTAGTTCATTCCAGCAACAACTTTGGGGCTGTTTTCTCACCTGTCAATTTGAGATCCAAATCATATGGCAAGAGGAATGCAGTCAAAGTTTTAAACAGAAAACCACTGACCCCCCTTGCCTCTGTAGAAGTCAGTAAACCTCTAGGGTCCTTGCTGTTTAATGTATAAATATTCTAATGAGTCCTTGTGTCCTGTAAAAGTGCTTTTTCCATTTATGGCACGACATGTGTGATTGTATGTCCCTTATTTCTTATCACTGCAAGTAAACTCTCATGTTGAGAATTTTTTCAAATATAGTACTAATTAAAATCCTAAAATAAAAAGCCTTTAAAGCCAACATACTCCCGACATTCTTATTTTAAAAACATAAATCATCATTTTTGGGACTATATGATCTGAGTTGAAGAACAAAGGAAAAAAGGAACTTTCAACATGGATAGACTGTAAACAACTATAATGTTATGCTTCTGAATATAAGAAAAACAGTAAGTATCTAGCCTATTAAGCACTACATTTCAGAAATTGGAATAAGATATTAAGAAATAAACACAAGGGCAGATATTTGTAGTTAGGAAGCCATTTGGGATGCCTTCATGCAGAGCGCATGGGTTGAAGCCTCAGCTCTGCTTGGATTCCCACTCATGAACACATACCCTGGGAGGCAGCAGAATTTGCATTCTGGCCACTATAGCACTCTTATATGTGTTAGAAATTATATTTTATTCAATTGCTGTTATATTATTGGAATATACTTATATTTTATACAAATAGTTCTATCACATCCTATGTTGTGATACAGAGGAACAACAAATAATTTACTTAAGGCCACACATGAAACAGTTGGAAAACCTGTTGAGTGAGTAATGAGAGGACATTATGCCATGAATTTCTCATTTCTCTGCATCCTCTTTGTCATTACTAGGCAACATTTTAACAGTTTGTGATTGTTCATATGAACTCGAACAGTCTGTTCCTGTCCCACACATTTCGCTCCCTTTCCAAAAGCATTGGCTTTGGAAGTTTTATTTTACTTAAATCAGTGCATTTGCGGTAGGTACTGTTAGTGTTTAGCTGTATCTGTTCCTCCATTAGCATGCACAAGATTACTCTTCTTGGGCCCCTCTTGTCATCTGATTAGTGAGGTATAGGCAGAATTGGCATGGGGTACTTTTAGCCTGCAACAGCAAGTCAAAAGCCCATGTCCCCAAAGTTTTAAATACTCTTTCTTTTTCCCATGGTGCAGCAGTTCATGAAAACAAGGGTGGTCCCTGGGTTTCCTGTAGAAATAACATCCTTGTAGATCTGTTCAGACATGGAATACATCATCAAGAAATTAACTATAGGATTCACCTCCACAGTTGTTCCACACTACAACAGTCAAAAGCAAACTGTTAGGCCTACCTTCCCAACTTGCACTCCTGATTAAGTCCACTAGATGTCATAATTATCTTTTACTCTATGTCAGCCTTAAAATCTCGGAATTATCTCTGCTCTGCACCTTCAAATCAGTTAGCAGAACATATGTGGGAATTTCAAAAGTACATGGGAAAAAATGAATTATTTTGAAGGAAAAAAAAAAAGTTTTGGGCTACATGTGTAGTTTTTCCACAGTGTTTTACTGAACTTTTTGAAGGTCTTTGATGTACTCTTTAACCTCCCTTCTACTGAATGATGTCTCTCCTTCTCCCATTAAAGCTACGAGTCTGATCCTCTTCACACAGCCAGAACCACTTCAACAACCTGGTTACAGCCTTCCCTCAATTTTTCTCTATGACCATAATGTACACATATAATCTGAATAAATTTTCAAATGCACATTCCTTATGATTCAATATTAAATACAGATGCTGGCTTCTGGCTTCAGACTGGCTCAGCTCTGGTCATTGCAACCATTTAATGAGTAAACCAATGGATGAAAGATCTCTGTCTCTCCTTCTCTCTGTAAATATGCCTTTCGAACTAAAAAGCTAATACAGTTTTTAAGAAAAAGCAATAGAAGCGAATATTTAACATTTTATCCAAGCAGTGTTTAACAAAACATATAATTAAAATAGCTGGGTTGTTTTAAAAAGCATACTCATTATAACAGTATATTATGTTTTCTTGAGTTACTACATTCATAATGCAATGAATCCCATTCACTAACTAAACAATGTTACCACAATTAAATTTTAAATTCAATGAAGAATATCTAAATAAAATTCTAAGTGTACTGAAGTGTGATTAAGTAAATTCCATAGAAATAGATTTTCTCATGGTCTTGGATGATAGAAAATGGCCATGTTTCTTAATTTATACAAAGAAAAAAGTGCTCTTTTGTTTGAATAATGATAATATATGCTGGTATGCTTCCCTTTACCCTTTTAGTTGCTTTAGAATACAGCCTGAATTCACAAACAGCTTTCATCAGCAAAATTAAAACCTTTTTCAATTTTATATACTGCTTTCACTTTGGAAAAGGTTTTGTGAAAACATACTAGCATACACAACTCATTCCTTTATATTTTATAATATATTCTATCTCTTGGAAAAGAGATAAAACTGTGATTTCCTATTGTTGGTACACTCCTGAAATACTGAAAAAGTGAGAGCTGGGACAATGAGAAGCACGTCCCAGGGGACACAAGTGCTGGAGTCATTGCAGGCTGACTCCCAGGACATATGATGGCAGGAAGCGGAGCCTGGAGTTGACCTAGGACTTCACCTAACCATGCTAACACCAAGCAGCATCAACCACTCACCCAAATAACCCATATTATTTGTAAAATATACAAGTTGATTCAAATGTCAGCTCCAAACATTTATTAATCAACACATAAGATATCAATAACCTACTGAGTCATAATTCAGGGAGATTTCTAACAGAAAGACAGACACACACACACACACACACACACACAGTGTAAATTCTTCCATGACTCTCAAGGATGCCTTGATAATGAAGCTTACCATGATCTGGAGAGAAATAGATGCCTATCAACCAAGCATTGCTAGAAAAACAAGATTTGCTTGACTTGTTTTTATAGGGTAAATCTTTTCCCAAGACTCCTTAGGTGCACAATGCCTTGGTAAAGTAATCAAATTTCCCCACTTTTTAAAAAATGCTTTCATGTTTTCAAAATTCAAAATTGCTTTAAAGTAACTATGAGCTAAAATCTTGTATGATCTTTTAAAGTATATTTTTATCCTAATTCAGAGGCAGCTAAAGTTGTATGCAATGTCAGTAGGTAAAACCTGTAAGCAGAAAAGAAAGTTGCAAAGAAAGCTATATACATGGGAATGCATTCTTGGTGATGGATGGTTAAAAAAATGTTGAAAGAAAATTTTTGATAGAAAGAAAAACTGAAAGAGTAAGCATATTGTAGATGTGTGGAAGTTGAATGTTGTGCGAAATTAGTTTGGATAAGATTAGAATGAAGTTTTAAGACTGGTTCTCCTAACGTAAAAGACAGATGGAAAGATTACAAGACAAAGCTTGTCCCATATGCAGTGTTGGTTGCGTAATACTGAAAAACAATGGGGTCATCTTCTCCCTCATTCCCAGCTTCTCACTGTGGGCTGGATCAGCACTCCATCAGGGAGCTGCCTAAACCTCCACAGCCTCATCTCCATCCTGGCTTACAACCCTTCCCCATCCTCTTTAAAAAGATAGAAACCCTTTTAAAAAATAGTTACTCAGTCTCCTTTATGCTGCCTAAAACTACCAGCCCTTTTTCTGCTTAGAAAATTAGCGCGCGTGTGTGCACACACACACACACACACACACACAGCCTATCCCAAACATAAAACCAGTACCTTAATATATATAGATGATACAAAGTGGCATGTTTGATCCTTATTGAATGGACTAACAGCTGTTTTATGCAGGGATTTGTCATAATGGAAACCCAATTAGGCCTGTCCCCAAAATAGCATTTGCTTTTGGTGTTTTTTGCATTTTAAAAAACCAAACAAAAAACAGCTGCATGACAGCAGCTGGCTTTCAAGAAAGCCCTGTCAACTCTATTAAAATCCTAATCATTGCAAGTGAGACTGGACCCAATCTCACTCAACTGGGTCATGCTATGACTGCCTAGATGTAGAATCATAAATCCTCCTATTACTAGCTAGCTAGATATTAGCCTATATATGCAAGAGTGGCTGAAGAAAAAAAGTGGGAATTCTGTGTGGCTATATCAAAACTTTTGCCCTTGTTCATAACCTTGTCAAGGTGGGCTCCAGTCCTCTCCCTGGGGAAGCCTAAGGCAATCTCCCTCCTTCCTTGGCCAGCACCAAGGAGACTAAGTCCACTACAAAGTCCTTGGAGGAATTTCAGGAATGCAGCATCCAGGAAATCCTCCACCTGACAATGCTCCAAACTGAGAGAGGAAAAAAATGAAGGGCCATGTCTTCCTCTCTGAAATTTTCTCTGAAGGATCTCTCTCCATTAAAACCTCAATCTGAAGCCATTCCAATCCAGTGGGTCACTTTAACTACCACAGCAGTTCAACAGTCAGGTTTTCCTGCCAGGATTCACTTCTGCAGATTAAAACCCACTCTGACCCAGGAAAGTAAGTGGGGGAAGAGGCCCTGAGAAGGTGGTGGTCACAAACCATGATGCTACTTCACTACTATTCCAGGTGACTGAAGAGGTGACTCCCTCAAAAGAATGAGCCTGCTCTATCCAATGTCTGAACTTGGACCGTGTCAAGACCTTGCCCTGACCACTTAAAAATCTCATGGATGGTCCAGTTACTACCACATTGCTCCTAGCCAAGGTCCCAAAGATCAAGCTCACTGGCCCTTTAAGCCATGCTCACCAGGTTAATTTCCATGCCTCTCTGCCAAGACAAACAGCACATTTACACAACCTGTCTGGTCCTCTAGGCCCTCCTGTCTTTGTGGGCCTGACTCCTTGCTTAACTCTTGGCTCTGTGTAGGCTGTGCTTCTAGGAGTCACATCAATCATTGCCCTTCAGTCTCTCACAGGTATCAGACTGGCTCACACTCTCAACCTAGAGGAGACTGAGTCCTAGGAAGAATGCCACCTTTATGTCAATCAATCCAGTCCTGCTAGTGCTGCTGCTCAGCAGCTCACAGACCACCCAGAAGTGAAAGATGCAAGTCTGAGCTGCTGAAATAATGGACCC